GAACGCAGACTACAGGTCAATGGCATCCATGTTGCTTACCACGGGGAAGGCAGAGTAACTTCATAAAAGGAATATTACGTGCAATGAGATGTTGTTCCAATGAGTTGAGACGTTTCAGTTGATTTGGAATGTCCACCAAATGCATGTTGTTGGCAACACTCTCTTCTGGTAGTTTTCCACAAAGGATTTTTCGATGACATGTTAGACAAATCCATAATTTGCACCCTGAGGAATAAGCAGAAGACAGGTCACACTTTTCATCATAAACATGCACATATCTGGTTGTGATGCATCTTCTACCCAAAGCAGCAATTTTTTCTCCTTTGTCTTCATAGCATTCTGTTTTGCATTCAATAACCTGCTTTCTGAAAAGTAAACGGTGACAGACACAGCACACAAACTCTGGACCACTACTAACTTCTTGTCGAAAAAAATCAATAACAACATCAATGTCTTTCTGTTCCTTTTTTCTTGCATATATTTCACAACCTTTTTGTATTGTACTCGCACGAAAGTTCACATCTTTATGGTATTTCATCACAGAATACTCACGCACTCTTGCTTGAAAGACCACATTACTCTTGTACTTCACCTGGGAATAGTTACAAACCAGTTTCTGAAACTGAACATTGCTCGCGTAATAATCTTTTGAACACTTACAACTTTTCTTCCTGAAATCAGGGTCATTACAATATTTTGATTTCTTGTACTTCAGTTGTTTTTGTCTGTACTCACTGTCGTTGCAATATCTCTTCCTATGCCTTTTGATAGGAGAACATTGTGCAGCATCGCTTACCTTTCTTTTACGCAGACATGGCTTGCTGACCTCATTTGACACTGCATTTCCACATGCTCCTGCACAAACACCATCCCGATCTCTATGCTTAACACATGTCACAACTTCATAATGATTACCATTACAGTGTTTCAAATAAATAGTATTCAGTGTAAATACCTCTCCAGTAGGTTTGTGTGCATTCCATCGGCCATCATTAAAAGTCATTATAGTGGTTTTGAAAAGATCGGCCGAAACGAATATGTCAATTTCTGTTACCCATGTGCCAGAATAAAACATTCTAGATCGTGTCAAATAATCCTCTACTGAAGAATACTCACTTCTGACGTACCTCTCAAACAGCAAAGTATTCATTTTCAGATGTTTGACAACCGCACGGCGAATCTTCAAGTGCTTGTCCTCGCTTCCACATATCACATGTGCCAACGATCTGAAAAAGCAGTTACCATCTGGTTTAATGGTCTTTGTCTGACACGGACCTGCAATGGGACCAAAGTTTATGACATTATGGTCACTGTTATCATTCGTCAAAAGTATGAGCTCACATAAAGCTTGCTGATCATTACGAGTTAAAGGAGAAAAAAATACATCTGGAACAGTGATGATTGTGATGATTATGTCATCTGTTACAACAGTTTCAGCATGTGATTTTGTAACCTGTTTATCTTTCTGCTTTCGCGTTGGAAGGTTAGTTGCAACTTCATCCACAGGTACTCGATATTCAGATGTCCTTACCTCAGTCTTCACAGATTCACATACCTTAGGTGTGCGTTTTAAGACTTCACTGTAAAGGGCTTTACCAGAAGAGCATGGAAAACTGCTGCCGCCTGATGGTTCCAACAGATCACAAACTTCTGCATGAACCAAAACTCCAGTTATCTCAAATGGTGGCTCAGGTTCCCCAAATAACTGTGCCATGTCATTAATATAGTTGTACAAAGACTCTATGGTACTATGATACACAATGCAACTTGTCTCTGTTTTGATAGCATGAGAGTCAACAACTGCATACCACAACCCCTGCTTAATAACTGCACATGTGTTGGCACAAATAGTTAACAGGAAAGCATCAGCACTCAGTAGAGCTTGCTGAAGGGCTACATCAAGTGGCATGGCCACACCGCTTATGGCTTCATCGTACTCATTGACATTAACAAAACCAGTCAGAGACTGAGTGTACTCGATGGAAAATGCAGTATTACCCAGCACATGTCTCCTTGGTAATTCATGGACCGCAATGTAATTCCTACCCTTGACTTCCCGGTCTTTTGTTACCCTGATTTCTTAAAGACTGGTAAAGGTGTGTTCCTGCAACCAAGACACCATCGAGATCTTGTGTCGTCCATGTCAGCACGTTCTTCATCTTGCTTTTCAACACCGCTGTCAGACTGATGGCTCCACACTGTCTGTTGCGTGAATCTCCAAAGCGGGCATCAGCTTGATGAAAAGAACCTGTCAGCACTGATTTCTGTGGAAATTCAAGACTCACATTTAAAGTGTTCAAAACATTCTCCATTGACTTTGTTGGGATCACAAACCTTTCTGCAGATTCTCTGGAACTTTTGAGAGATTGTTCAGACCTGTTGAAATA